TTTTTTTTTTTTTTTTTTTAATAAGAGACCAAGGATATAAGCAGCTGGAGTTAAATTTTGCTAATCACTGCAAACATCTGTCAGCTCAACTTATGACATGGAAGCAAAAAAACCAAAACATTTTTAAACCAGCAACATTCACAGGTGGAGCGTTTGTTCAGTTGCTGTGGTTACTGGAGACTCACTGGAGTGTGAGGTTGCTAAGAAAACAAGAGCAGAGGTCCTGGGCGTGGTACAAACAAGCTATTTTGTTGGGACTGCATGCACAAGAGATGCCAGACAGGTAGCAGGTGGTCCGACACTTGCAGCACTGACGCGCCTCATCTGGGAGAACCTCATAATCAACTTGTCGAGACTGTACCACACCCTAGAGACACAAATTCAGTCATTAGAGCCACAGAGAAAACAGCGAAGCCAAATATGGTATATGCAAATAATAAATTAACGTTTCTTGAATAGGTGACTTTTTAAGAGAATATCTTTAACAATGTTCTCTACTTTATGTTAGTTGACAGAATACTGAGAATATATCCTCTTTAAACATGACTTGAGTCACAGAAAATATTAATTTATAAACAACTTAACTTCAGGAAGATAAACGAAAGTTGGAAAACTTACTATTTTCTTTATTTTAACTCTTAGTTCTTCTTCCTCTTTAATCATGGTGGTCATGTCCCCCAGCAATGCTGATGCCAGGTCAACATCCATCGTGTCCGCTTTAAAGGCCATGTTACAAACCATCTCGTCATGGGAGAAGACGCAGTATCTGCTCAGCTGCCGGTAGTGATCCACACAACTACGACCGATGGGCATCTGCCAGAAAATACGGAGACGAGTGACTTCCAGGACAAAAAGCAATTAAAGAGCGCACAAAGAGGTCTCAATTTATATTCTTGATGTTTTTATATGTTTTAAAATATGCTTGTCAGTTAAATCTACATTACAAAACTAAACTCAGAACAACAAAAACAATGGTGCATAAAAAGTATTTTTCAAAGAAAGAAATCACACCACAGTCAGTTCCCGTGTGCAGGCAGGTACAGCACAAATAGATCTTCTTACCCAGTCCATGGTGCAGAAGTTGACCGCTTCAGCAAAGTTGAAACCCTGGTTGAATCCACTGTGGTACGCTCTGGGGAAGGTGATGACAAACTCACCTGCACACTGGTTGGTGCGAAAGATCTACAAGCGGAAAAAACATATATTTATAAATACATTTCTTACAAGTGGTTCATGCCAAATAATTCCCGTTGACAGTTTTCTGGGACAATGAATGGAAACTAATCACACTGCTTTCTGAAAACAGTTCATTATTTTCTGAAAAACTCACTATTTTGTTTTCAGAAGAAAGATAAAAAAAAAAAAAAGTAACCCGTTTGATCTCCATCTACCTTTGTGTTGCAAGAAAAGAGTGGTTATAATTATTCTGTAAAAATAGAAACTAAGTAATGGAGCATATTAATTTCATTTCATTTTTATTGCCACTATGATGCTAATCATTAGAAAATGACAGTGAGCAGGTTACCGGAACCCCGTTGTTCATCAGCGTGTTGGGATTCATGATGGTCACCAGCTGGTGAAGGAGGTCTGGCTGTGACTCAAACAGCTCAGGAGCCAATTTCTTCATGACTGACTCCAGGTGCTCTGCAGCATAACCAGGAGCCCCGTACCACGTCTTTGGCTCACCCCTGCACACATGTTCAGAAAGACAATCTGAAAAGGCTCTTATTTTGAAAAGGCTATTTCCTTAGTAGTATTACTGATACTCTGAGAGTACTCTACCAGTGAAGATAGTTTATGGAGTAGCTCCAGTGGTCCTCGATATGCCAGCAGAAAGAGGAGAAGCACATCCCCACATACAGCCAGGGAACCTTCATCCCACAGATGTCGGCTGTAATGTGAGTCAGGACTGAGGCGTCGAGGACCGGCATGTTGTTCAAGTTCCAGCCACTGGTCAGGTAATGCTGCGAGTCAGAGACAGGTCAACACTACGACTAAACCTCACACTCACAACCAGCATAGAAATAACTTAATCACTAAGATGAGTTTAAAAATATAAAGAAACTTAGCTGAGCAAATCTATTAAAACATTAAAAAAAACATTAATCTTAAAAACAAATTGATTTTATTATGTACTTGAATTGTTAATATTTACAAACATTTCAAACTATAGAGAAAACTTGTGCTTTCAGCATGCAACATTTCCACAAACAATACCTCATCCTCAGAAGAGACTTCAAAATGGCTGTTTCTCACAGGAAAACCACTCCCAAACTCCTTGGAGGCAATGTCTGCGCCGTACTCCACAGTGACATCCTCCTCGATGGTACTGACAAGACGCCAGAACTCCTTCTCCACCAGCTCAGTGGGAACCATCTGAAAACAAAAGGCACACACTCATTTTAAACTATCTGATGAATAATATTTGTGTCTACCATCTCTGTTGCACACAATTATATTTCTGGATAAAATTCTCAGTAATATAAAGTTTTTTTTCCCTGCTTTCCTTCAAAACCCAAGGATGCGTGCGACAGATAATAATCCCTGACTTCCGAATGCGTTATCAGAGGATGCCTTTGTTTTAGACTGAAGTCACACAACTTGTAACTGATAATCCAGGATCATTACTCTAAGATGGACAGAAATGTGTCTGTGATTCGAACAGAACATTTCTATGAACTGTAAGATAGCCTGCATGCCGATAGCAGCATCATTTATGTGCACAGAGCACTTTGTGTTAGTGCCACTGTTTTTATTGTAGTAACATTTACAGAATAGTTTGAAGTAGTGACTGTTTTAGGAAAACATCTTGCCTTTGAAATAAATGTACCATATATATATATATATATATATATATATATATATATATATATATATACATACATATATTTATATATAAATTCAAGGCTATTTGTGATAAAAATAAAGCAGGGATTTTAAGATTGTACAAACTTGTCTGACCCTGGACCCTTATCTTTTGCCATTTGTCTACTTGCAGTGCTGTTCACAGCTGAAACAAGGTCAAAACCAAAGTTCACAAGAAGAAAAATGGTAAGTAGACCTTTGGTTTATTGTGCTTATTGTGGTGGGGTGTGTATGTGTCTCATAGATTTCACACTTTTATTATTTTATATTTTATGTACAGCGCTTTGTGATTTTATGTCTGCGATAAGCACTTTATAAATAAACTTTACTCACTTACTTACTTACACTCAAACATTTACCGAGAGAAAATATAAAGACTACAACAACCTGCCAACAGAAATGAGATGATGTAAGCTCACATGAACTGGCATGTTGAAGTAGTCAGACTTAAAGGAGTCAGCCATGTCTCCAAAAGCTTGGAGGGTGTAGCTCCTGCTGGCTTGCTCAAAGCCAAATGCAACAGGAGGTTTGCCACATTCCTGCAAAACAAACAAAAAACAAAGGATGCACAGCCCTGTAAGATACTATAATTGTGCCAGACATGAGAACAAACGTGCCAGTCTTCAGCTCCCTGAGGCCAGAGGTGTAGCAGCTCACCTGAGCCAGGCACTTGGGACATCTCCAGTCACCTTTAGGGACCTCATGAAGGGGTGGGATCAGACAGAAGATGTGATAGCTGTCGTCACAGCCGTCACACAACAGCAGGCGGTCTTCTGCGCTTCCACTACCACATACCAGGCACATGTATGTTTCCACCTGAGAGAACGTTAGTAGTTTCAGCACGCAGACATACAAAATAAATGTACACATTTGATTTATTGTGATGTACAAAATATTTTTAAATTAATTCCAAACATTGTAAACCATTTACTTTATTCACTGGAGGTTTGTCTATTATTGTTAATAGATTTTCTTCATATTCTGTTGGATCCATGTGTTCAATTGGCTCCTGTTTCACCTCAGTGATTTCCATTTTCACTGAAAAACAAGGATGAACATTCAGTGGAGGCTTAAGGAGTCTCTGATTAACAAAGCTCCCATGAAACAATGAATTTTCTTTTTATTAATAAATTATTTCTCACCAGGTTCTTGTTTGGCCATGTAGGTTCCCATTCTCCTCCTCAGATTGGGACGATTCTCACGAATTCCTCCAGGTCCAATTTTGAAACAGCTTCTCTGCAGCCAGTGAAAAAGAAACAACATTGTTATTTTTCCCCTCTGTAATAAGAGGAGATACAAAATAGTATATTTTGTATCTCCTCACATTATAGCAGAAACTGCCAAAAAAGATTCAGATAATAAATCAATCATTTGTACTCTGTGCATGTGTATCTACTGTATATGTATAAACTAGAGCCCAACTGATATATCGTAGGTGCTCATATTTTAGGCCAATATAGGCGTTTGGGGACCGATGGTAAGGTTATGATTGTCCCATTATGTGCTGAAATAAACAATTATTATTTTCACCACTAAAATGTTGGGAACCAGCCATATTTACTGTTACTGCACTTATTTACAGTTTCTTTTTATACATTATATTTTGCTATTTTTAGGTGCAACTGTACCACATGTGCTGTGAATGACAAAGTACTTGAACTTGATATGAGCATTCACTTAAGTTTCACTTTCAGTGCAGTCGAAGCAAGGAGCAATACTGTGTAGCGTATTTTGTTGAACAGAGCATGGTAAGTTTATTTTAACTGATCTGTAAAATAAAATAAAAATCAACAATAATAAATCATCTTCAATCCTCCATCCCGCTTGTCATTAGCCATTTGCTTCTCAAGTTAGCAATTTGTGACTCGCACAGTTCTCCATAATTGTAATTTTTAACAACATTTTAGCCAATAGAGACAAGAAGCAGAGATCATTTTAGGTCTTTTTTGGTATAAAGTTAGCCAAATTTTCAAGTCTGTTAGTTACCAGAGCCTGAAGTTAATTAGAACCAGAATTTAGGTCAGGGATTGTCATTCACTTTCACATAATGAGTCAATGAAAGCCAAACAAGTTAATCAGGTTTGCACACATGCAGAGGAGGGCAAACACCTGTTGTCCTTCACTTCCAGTTTGTAGAATAAAATAATTGTCACATGAAAATGTTAAGAATGCAAACTCACTTCAGATCTCATCCGTTTAGCACGGCGAGCGATGCTGCAGGTCTCCTGAGGCTGGACAGACTGGCGCTGTGGCAGGTCATGAGGAGTGTACTCTTTGTCTTTAGTGTCATGGGTCAAAGTGGCTTTCTGCACAAGCAAGCAGGTAAAATTTCATCAGAGTGAAGCAACACATGCAAATAACGTGAACCGAAAACCCTCTCAGAGTAATGACATATGCATGCCATTAAATTACTGTATACATTTTTATTTATAACGGAAAAGGCAAATTTATAATGCCAAGTGTGTGGAATTAAAGTTCCTTTAAACATATTTTATTCATACAAAGTCATCATGAAAGACCATAAAGTAGTTTTATACAACATTTTATGCAATTTTCATTCTTACTGGACTTAAATATTGTCCTGATTTCTCAAATTATCTGTCTGTTGTGTCCACCCCCTGAGGTTTTCCACCAGCATTGTGTTTAGATTAAAAAGCCACAGAGAGACTGAAATATTCATTAACATTTTCATTTAATTTAAATATTCTCAAAAAACACCCTTTCATGTTTTGGGCATTTGGCAAATAAAAGTAATTTTGGTAATCATAAATTATCTAGGCCCTATGATGGACTTGCGACCCATCCAGGGTGTACCCTGCCCCTCGCACAGTGATTGCTGGACATGGATACCGGCGACCCCCGTGACCCAAAATGGAAGAAGCGAGTAAACGATAATGGATGGATGGATAAATTATCTAAAACAGGAAAGGTTAGACTGATTTAATATCAGCCAGTGAGTGTCAACTGTATTACTACTAAGATTATTGTACTTTTAATAATAATACTACTTATACAATTGTACTTGCTATAAAAGTTTTATTTGTTACTTGTGACTTGATAAAACCTCAGCATACAGCTTTAAGCAGATAAACTATGGACTAGTCCAATAAACCTTTACACAGCTGTTAGGAATGACAAGGATCACTGCCACTCAGCTGCTGTGAACAGAGAAACGGGTGAAAGGACGTACGGGGAGATTGGCTCCAACTTGGAAGAGGTTATATGGGTAGAGGATCCGCTCATAGTGTGCACGCAGATGAGACCCGATGGCTTTTCCAGGAGCAAACCCCATCTTGACTGATATCTTAGTCCAGCGCCGCTCTCTGCAGACGGCATCAAAGCCTCCCTCTTCATTCACCAACTTCAAAATATATATATACACCGGAATATATTTATGAAGAAAACAACAACAAATTAATGTTATCATGTTAAATGGCATGTCTGCAGATGTGTAATTAATAAGCTCAAATTTGCAAACCTTATTCAGTTGGTACAGATCTAAAATCTTTCTTTCAACATGAGGAATTTTCAGGGTGGATCCTTGAAGCTCCCAAAATTTAGCAATTTGATCCAGGAAGTTGAGTTTAACTCTAGTTTGAGCCTGAAAACAAAACAAAGACAACTTACAGTAATGAGCACGGTTTTTCTAGAATTACTCTAAACAAAGAATTTAAGAGAATCTTGTTGAATTTACTATTTTATTTGTGTGAAAATTGTTTCTTCTTTCTTAAGGACAAAAATATGCTCTGCACGGGAGTTTTAGACATTCTGAAGCTGCGCACCGATTTAAATTTTACATTAAAAGAAGGTACACAGAATCTGTGAAATAATGTAAAATGTAACTCAATTACTGTTGTAATTTTCTACACGACAGAATCAATGAGTATACCTCCAACTCATTAAGCCGTTGTATTCGTGGTGTGAACTTCAGTCTGTCAACATCACATGCAAAAGGTGGCTGCCATTCCTGAGGAAAAACAAAACAAAACATGTTCGCAAATGAAAAAACGATCAGTGATCAAACCAAAGCCTCTGAAAACTATTAGCCAATCACAGACAAAGATTACTGACGACAGCAACTTTTTACAGTCAAAACTCAACCCGGGCTGCTCTCGTGGATTGTACTGACAAAGATAAATTGATATTGGTCCAACCAACCATCAGCCTGTTTATCAACACTTCCAGAAGAAACTGGATGTACAGCAGCAGCTTATTTATTTACAGTTGTCCCTCGTTTATTGCGGGGGATCCGTACCCTGAAGCCCCGTGATAAGTGAAGGACCACGAAGTAGGAAGTACTAATATATATTATATGAATAAAATGTGTTTTAAACCCTTCAGAATGTCATGATTTCCTTCGCTCTGCCTCCACTGTTCTCAGCCACCTGCAAGCGGTTTCGTCCACGCCCACTTTTCCTCTGCAGGAGAACAGCTGATCAGCTGCAGCAGGAAGTGTATCCTGCAGTGTGGGCTGCACACAGGTGCTAAATCATTTTAAATAATTCATTTTAAATAAAAATTCCATGCCGATCGTGAAGCTCATCCATCAATCAGCCAATTGTGTGTCATGTGACTACTGTAATTTAAATGCTTCTGCTTGATGTGAACCGGAGAGGTCCACAAATTAAAACACAGAATAATAAGACCCACAAGAAGAAAAGCAATGTCTTACAGAAATAATCCAACTGTTTGTATAAAAAAAAGTTAAGGAAGTGATTCAGTTAATTTATTTGTTTGGCAAATGTAAGTCAAAATACCAGGAAGACCTGAGATCTCAGTTGTTCAGTATTTAGGCCAAATAAATAAAGGCACCCTGAGATATCTCAGTTTGTTTCAGGCTGCAGCTATTTTACTGACAATCTAAACATTGTGATCGCTGATATCAACACAATGAGCATTTCACACAAGCAATGCATTTTCGATAAGGTTTGAGACAAAGTCTTGATATCAATCTCAGCTTTGCATCAAGAGAAGTCTGATACTGAAGCTCCTTCAGAGGTGAGTTTCCTCAAGTGTGAAGGAAAATGTGCTTCTCTCACCACCACAAACACAAATCAAATGATAAACACTCATTTTATTCTTGGCTTAAGAGCTGCGATGAGCATAAATAAAACAGATTTCAGATGAAAAAACCCCAAGTGGCTGAGGAAAAAGCAAACTGATTAAACTGAAATAAAAATAAAAACTGAGGTTTCGTAGCTGCTGAATTCTTTTAGGGAAAATAAGTTGCAGTTACACAGTTTTGTAGAATAAACAACAAACGATGTAATGTTATAATGCTATTTTACTCATGTTTAAACTGAAAGCTCACCGTTTCTAAGAGATTATTTTCATGGATTCAGCAGCGGACCTTTTGTTTGTTGTTTAGTCTACAACGTCAGGAGAATGGGACTTTGGACTCAGAAAGTTCAAACAAGTTTAGATGCATCATCTTTTAAATTAGATTAAATAACTGTAGGATGATGACTTAATCTGGGGTCGACAGCGTTATAAATAATGTAAATTAACTGAAGTGGGCACACTGATAGCTTTAAGAAAAATACAACAGTTTCACCCTGAATTACTGAGAACTACAAGCAATAAATACACAAAACAGATAATATTTTCTCAATTAACTCTGATTTATGTTTCTAGAAATGTGGAGGTTTTTTGATAAAGATGTATCATAAACTAAATTATTTTTTGGGAAAAAGTGCATGTTCACAGAGCTATCAATACTGATATGCAATGTTTGTTTTCATTGTTGGGACAAAAGTGTGTTAAAACAGCGAAATTCTCCAAATACTTTAATAAATTGGTGATTTTACACAACTATTTTTAAACATTGTAAAAGTGTAACTGTATTACAAACCTATTTGTACCTTGTATTCTGACTGTATGTAGCGCTCATTGCTAAGTTCATGGCAAAAACCAGTGCAGACATGTTCCTGTTTTAATCTACATCGCTTTACAAAGTAGCTGTTTTTTGTTTCGCTTTTTAATATTTCCTTTAGTTTATTTTTCTCAATTCATACGCTTTCTTTTATGATTGCCTACTGTTGTCGTCAATCTTTGTTAAAAACAAGGCTCTCTTGTAAATGAGTCCTTGAGGATCAATGAGACTAACCTGTATAAATAAAGGTTGAATGAATGAATAACATTTTTAGGAGGTAGGCTTATTCGTCTTTATTTTAGTCTAGTTTTATTTTAGTTGTATGAAGGAAGGTGGAACCACCGTTTTGACAATAAACACTTTAATCTTGAATGCGACCTGACGGAGACGCTGAAAATTTGTTTAGGTTGTAAGTATTGATACTTTGCAGATAGCAAAACAAAAACAAATCAATTTAAAAACGCATTATTTAAAACTGATCATCTAGTTAATGCAATACCACGGTCAGGTTTGAACACCAGAAGCCCTTAGCTCAGTTCAAACAGACAAAAACAAGAGGTGATCCTAAAATATCAAGCGATAAACACGCTGGTAACGTTCACAGTCAAAATGTGACATGTGCAGAACTCTGGAGGAAACTCTGACCACAACCTGAGCACAGAAATCACTGATCAAAAACAGGCTGTGGTGCAATGTTTACTTCCGCTCTCAAAACTCCTTGTGAAGAGAGGAAGCGTGGAAAAAAATGAGGCCGAGACCTCAGAGAACCCCTAAAAATTAAAAAAACTAAAGTATAAATGGTATATATTTTTGTCATACAAGCCCACAGGATTTTTTTTTTCCCCCAGGTGCTAAAATAAAATAAATATATTTGCAGAAATTAAATTTAAAAATGAGCAAAAACAACCTTAAAAAAAAATCATATTCACATTGTTTATAAGTGTCCCAAGTTATTTTTGTTGACTTTGTGAGAAGCCGCCCATTTGTGCACACAACTTGTAGATTTTTTCACACAAGCAAAGATGTGATGATAAATGTTAACGCACAAGTAAACACAAACATACAAAAAAAAAAAAAAAGTTTGTATCTTTGTTCACCAGCTCTTGTCTTTTGCCATTTTGCTTGAGGACAAACAGGAGCCAATCTTTGTTCAAACCTTCTGCCAGTGTCTTTTGTTTACAAGAGCAGGGCTTTTTCAGGCCTCGCACGAGCAAACAGTAAAAAAAGCTGACACCCCACCCTCTGCGTTCTGATAACAATTCACTTCCTTGTACCCCTGCGTCGTGCAAAGTGGGCTTTGACTCCTGCAAAAGTTCTGCCACGTTCATCTGAAGCAGGCCATCCATCCAGAATCTCAAAAACGACAAAGAGAACCATGAAAAGACCATTCCTGCCCCTGGAACCAGCTCTTTTATCTTATGGAAGTTAACAAGGGCACACCCTTGAATAAGGGATCTGCTGCCTCTCATCACAGAAATAAGGTCAAATTGAGATTAATCTGTGCTTTGGTTATTTTGACATTTATTTTCTCTTTACCACCCCCCCCAAATAACGGAGATCGGAAAAAAAAAAGACAATAACACCAGAGAACAGCCACCACCAGTGGATAAATATAATGAAAGTAGCACACAAAGAGAACCAGTGTCCACCATTAAAGATGGTGTTTGAGGGGACCTTCTCTCCATAAACTGTTGGTCACCGAGCACGTACAAACTGCAGCCTGAAACAGGCCCAATTCAGACTGGCTTATAGTTCTCCCCCCGCACACACACGCGCTCACTAAACCGTCACATCCTGCTCAGAAAACTGCGTTTTACGTAGAAAACCCTTCCCTTGATGCGTTAGTCAAACGAGAAGTTCAAATATCTGTTTTCAAACTCCAGGTCTGCGCAATTTACATTATTTTTGCGTACAGGCAAACTTCAAGCTTTTTTTTTTTCTTTACGAAAATGTCCCCCCTTTTAAAAAAAAAAGAAAAAAAAAAGACTATATTTATGATGACGTGTTTGGATTATTTGGAGGTTTAATTTTGCTCGGGACACCAGCTTCCCCCTCCTGAATGGAGCCACTGACCGTTGGCTGCCAACTGAACCCGCTCCAACTCGGGCTCACTGCTCCACAGAGCCGCAATCCGCCATGTTGAAAGCTGTCTGAAAACACAACTTTGCCTGCTGAACTGTCCCCATCAACCGAGGCCGCCACAACACACACAGACCGGGGACGACGGTCAACGAGAAAGACGTACTCACCGGCGGAGGTCGGATCTTGCAGATACCAGTTTTCTCAGCAATGGGTCGTATTTTGTTGATGTACGCAAAAGGGTCGGCGAATTCCTCCCAGCTGGGCTCAAAAACAGGGCACTCCTGGGGAGGAATGAACTCATTTAGTTGTGGTTGAGTCATTGCTGCATCTTCGGTAGGAGTCCAGCAGAAAATATATGTATATGTTTAAATAAAAGGCTTTTCACGCCGAATGTGGTAGCTGTAAATATTAGTCTTTCAGTTCATGTCCACTCTCCACTCATTCAACTCAAAGACGAATTAGTTGGGAGACCAGCTAGCGCGGCTCAGAGACTGTGCGCGTCCGCTTCGAAAAGTAGACACCCAATACATTGTCGTTATCTCACTCAAGACCAGGCATCTTTACTGTTTTATTGCAAAATCGATTGCTTATGCATCTATTATGCTCTACAAAACAATATAATCTACAATCAAACGCAGTTAAATTATATGGAATTAGTTTATTCAACAACGGCGCGATTGTAATTGTATTGTATGTTAAAGCTGTTAAAAGGCATACCACAACAGCAGTTTGTTACTTCATTTTATTCACAAAAAAAACACATAGTTCAAGATTTATGGCCTATTGGTTCCGTGTTTTCTTCACAAATAATTTCCTCTCCTAATAATACGTTCGATGTTTTCTTTCTATGACACGAAGGTGCACTGAGTTTCGCGGGGTGACAAACGAAGGGACGGGTTGTGCACACTGCTCCTATACCGCCCGGCTGCGCTGAATGATAGGATGTATCGGGCGGTGCTGTGTTTTCTATTCGAACGCACCCACCAGATTGTTGCGCGCTGGCCGGGACTTTGTTTTTAAATGGTCTGAAGAAGCTCGTTCATTGGTGGATAGCAGTCATATGTCAAAGAGACCAACTGTTTGTGTTTTATATAACAAACATTTGTTCCCTAAAAGTCCTGAACAGACTCCTGTATTTTTAGTAAAATATTAGCAATGTGGAATTATGTCAATATAATTAGGGCTTATATGTCAATAACTCCTAAATATATTTAACTTCATTCACTGCTTGCTGTAAACCTCTTCATTTCTTTGTTGGTGGTGATTGACTATAGGTTTACAAATGTTTTATGATAATAAATGCAGAGTATGATAATTTATTCTACTATTTATGTCCAATATATTCTCATTAAAAATGTTACATTAATTTTAAGACAGTAAATATAAACTGTAAATGTAATTTATTGCTTTCTGCATAGCTTACATTTTTGGCAATGTGTTAAACTGCTGCTAAACACACTTCTCACTTTTGTTTCACATTTCATTTGAATGTTCCTGTTCTCGGTTTTGATTGGCTTTCCAGGTGGATTTCATAAAGTATGTACATAACCTACATGTGTATTTGACTAAAGGCACAAGATGAATGTATAAATCAGGAAAACTCACTTTGACATGATTAAAACACGCGTTTCTTCCAACAGACAAATGGATTTATTCACATTCTGTAAAGTTTTGAGCGTCTGATTTACATGGACATTTTATTGCTGTAATATGACAATTTCCACATATATATATGCATTTGTCATATGATTTATAGGCTAACATATAGATTCATTACACATATTGGGAAATATTTTGAGCCTTCATTTCTTGTAATTTTGATGATTATGGCTAGCAAAAAAATGTAAAACCAAAATTCAGTGTCTCAGATAATTAGAATATTCCACAGCCAGCCTTTGGTCCCTTTGTCAGTGTGGGCAGGAGCCAAGTCCTGCTGGAAAATAAAATCAGCATCTCCATAAAGCTCATCAGCAGAAGGAAGCATGAAGTCTCTAAAATGTCCTGGTAGATGCTGCGTGGACTATATGGACTTTAGAGAACACAGTGGATCAACACCAGCAGAGAACATGGGCCCCAAACCATGACTGACTGTGGAAACTTCACTCTGGACTTCAAGCAATGTGGATTCTGGGTCTCTCCACTCTTCCTCCAGATTCTGGGACCTTAATTCCCAAATGACATGAAAATTTACTTTCATCTGAAAAAGAGGACATTGGACCACTGAGCAACAGTCCAGTTCTTTGAGCCAGGTAAGACACTTCTGATGTTGTCCTGGTTCAGGAGTGGCTGGACTTGAGGAAAGAGACATTTGTAGCTCATGTCTAGGAGTTAATCAGCTGATCAGGGTGTGACACCAGGAGTTTACAATATTAAGCCTTTTCACAACATTCTAATTTTCTGAGACACTGAATTTTGGTTTTTCACTATTTGTAAGAGATAATCATCAAAATGACAAGAAATAAAGGCGTGAAATATTTCACTCTGTGTAATGAATCTATGTAACATACGAGTTTGATTTTCTGAAATGATTGACAGTTAAAAAAAACAAAACCTTTTGCACAAGGCAGCACGATGGCACAACTGCAGAGCTGCTGCCTCTCAGCCGGTTAGTTCAAATCCCGGTCCGAGGACCTTTCTGGGTGGAGTTTGCATGTTCTCTCCGTGCATGTGTGGGTTTTCTCCAGGTACTCCGGTTTCCTCCCACAGACCAAAAACATGCACGTTCAGCTGATTGGTGAGTGAGCGAGTGAATGGTTGTTTGTCTCATTTGTCTCTATGTGTCCCTGTGATGGACTGGAGACCTGTCCAGGGTGTCTCCCGCCTCTAGCAGAGTGATAGCTGGACATGGTGACCAGTGACCCCCGTGACCCAAAAAGGAAGAAGTGGGTAAAAGATAATGGATGGAACTTTTTCATAATATTGATTTTTTTTTTGTACAAAAGGACGCTTTAACCACTCACACCAGTAGACAATGTGCTCAACTGGTTAACACGACTGCAAATGATTTATTAGGGATAGGCCTTACTGTGTGTGCAGAGCCCATGGTTAAAAGTTGCACAGTGCACAATAGAGCATGAGAGGATTTATTGGCTGCAATGAAATGAGCTTCAGTGAAACGAGGACATCTAGTGGCATGTGGCAGAACTGCATTGTAAAATAGTGCACGATGGAGGCTTCAAGAGATGGTCAAACCAGGAACTCCTCTCTGTGTTTAGACATGAGGAGTTCTCCACTGTTCACATTTTCTTACATATGAAAACTGTAGAATGCAGATAATCTTAAAGAATGAGGTAAATACGGTAATTCGTTTTGTGTGTGAAGCAAGAACAAAATAGGTAATTCGGTATATACCTGAATTCTTTACATTCTGTTCCCAATGATGAAAACCAGACAGTAAATGATTTTAAGCACAGTTACTGGTAATAAAACTAGCCTGCACCATATCCTGATTTTAAGCGAATGTGGCTGGGATTTACCTCAAAATTTGTTAAAAAATAAAATGAAATATACTTTAATAGTTTTTCTTCGCATTTGACTTTGTTACTGAAGTTCATTATGACTTTTTCTTGCCAGGTTTGATGTTTATATGAGACTTTTTAAACGACTGTACAATAAACTAGGTTCGTATTTCTAAACTGGATTAAAGTCGTTTTTAAAAGAAAAAGAGTTATTAAGCTGTGATTGTCACTGTAAATAAAAAATGTCTAGCGAGTCACTGGGGAAGGGAAAACATATGAAGCACTGATGTTTACTGTTACACATCAAGTATAATGTAGTTTTTTCCTTTAAATATTAGTATCCCGTAGTATTGAATGTGTTAGTTGAAGTTCTCTTCGCCGAAGGTTGAGCAGGCGTTTTACTGAGATATAAAGTACTGCAAACAGCTGATGGGTTAAAAGTGTCGATACCAAAGTCACTGTGGCATCCAAAACTAAAATTCACTTAAATTAAGGTACTTACTGTAAAAAAAATATATACATCCATGTGACAGCAACAAGTAAAAAAATAACTTCCAAAAACTTTATTAGAATAGTACGATTGTACTAATGCCACAATGACGGATGACAACAAATATGCCACAACCACTTAACAAACAGTGTACAGTATCTGTGAGTGTGTGTACGATGGTTAAACTTTGGGGGGGGAAATCCATAAAAACAATGCATAGCCTGCCAAAACATTTTTGAAGTCCGAGTGGGCTCACATAGGCACCAACATTATGCATGATTCACTCTATCCAAAGCCACGTAGAATTTCTTTTTGTCATCCAAACAGTGCCAGCCGATTGGTCCAATTTCACAATCTGCACAGATGAGGTACTTGATCCTCCCCACATCGTTTGTGAAACCCACGTTCTCGAAAGTGAGCATGTCGTCCACTAACCAGTGGGAGGTCAGTGTGTCGCCGTCGACGGAGCCCTCAGTGGCGCTGGGGCTGCTCTTTTTCCGCATGGATGGAAGGAACAGCTGGTGAGAGAAAACACAAGTTAGACAAAGATGGAGTAAAGTTAGGCTGCATGTCTGTTTTACACTTTCTGCTGCTGGTTTTTAAACATTAAGATTATTTTAGTGTTACAAAGATCCTACTTAACAAGGTACATAAGACAAACTACATAAAGTATTTTAAAGCTAAAAACCTAAAGCTAAAAGTTAAAGTCATATTTTTACTTGATAAAGCCTTCCAGATGGGAAGCAAAACGTCTTCAGGTACAGGATAGAAATCCAGTTGTTTTGTTTTAACCCTTTTTTCTCCCAGCTGTTTATGACACCCCATTTAAAAGGTACCGCTTTAACACAAAAAAGTCTACACTTTATTTTGAAAGGATTCGCACGAGGAACGAAGCTAAAATTTTGAATTATATTCAGAATTTCTCCATTCTGAACATAGAAAGCAACCGAATTTGTTGTGCCCTTTAAATTATTTTGCACATTTTTCTTTCACGCCTAGTGTTTTATCACATTCTAATGTTGAAGTTTATCTGTCTTAATTTGTACCTTTTCTTCATTTACTGTATTATAATTTCCTTTGTTTCTTTTATTATAGCATTATGTTTTAGTAAACAGAAACACTAAAAAAAAAATCTGGATTTACATAATTTCATATGGAAAGTGCGTGGGTCCATTTATTCTGTATGTGCCTACTTGTTTAGTAGTAACTGCCATACATCCATCCACCCACCTGTTGGTTTATTGTCATCTTAATTTGCAGCAAAAACATTTAGCTAAATACATCAGTCTAAATGTCCTTTTTTCCTGGCATTTTGGTAAATAATCACTAATTTTCTTGCTACCTTTTGGAAACCTTAATTCTCTGGCACCTCTTGTTCTGCAGAAAGTTCCCATTCTGGGTTGGGTTATCCATCTTGAATCCATTCAACTTTATTTTAAACAGCTATTTTTAGTAAGTTCAGAGGCAAAATATTTTTCATATGAGCTGAACTACTGTAGTTAGGCGCATGAATAAGCTAAAAGTAAAATAAATATATATAATAAGATCACTGTTTTCTTATAAAACATACAGTAGTTGTCAACAACATAGTTGCATCTGATTTTTTTCCTTCTCCAACGTGCTGATGACTCCAACATACCTCCTTGTCTGTAAGCACAGCCATGGCAGGACACAGCACCTTGGACCCGCAGCGCTGACACAGAACAGACTTGGTGTTCTTGCCGTCCTCAGACACCAGCTCGGTTCGTTCAGAGCTCCCGTCCTGATCCGTGCTCATCTCGAATCCTGACAGCACAGTAAATTTAATCTAGAGACACGACAATCGGAGGGTGCAGCCTGATAAAACGCGCTGACGCAAATGGGAAAAACACCGAACCCCGCAGGGAAGACGACGGGACATTAAAATAATACAATTTTAGCGCAACAAAGGCTGGACCACTCACCGGAACTGGACCGGAAACAGTAACAAAAATAAAAAAAATAAAAAAACTTCAGTCAATACGTTTGTAGTGCGGAAGTTCACAAGTTATCGCTTAAATTAATTTCCACGAACATCATTTTAATGTATATTTATGCTAAAACCACATATAATCCCCACATTTAAACAACGCGTTCTGATATAAACATGTTGGAGTGACGTACAGTAAATGGAGATTTTACCCGCATCTATGCTAAAACTGAATTTCACCGACAAATGACTACATGCTCAAATATAATACTTAAACATATTTTAGTTAGGACACATGACACCTACTTGAAATATAGAAAAACGCAGAAAAAGAAATCAGTCAACCGTTAGCTAGCTGTAACTAGCATGCTTGAGGTGCAGCAAGTAAATGGTCTCGATCTGAAACAAGTGCTAGTCTCGGAGTTCCCCGCCCACCAAAATAGTAATAAAGAATCCTCCATACTTCGCCAAAATAAAAGTTTTAAAGCAAATACCAAAATTTATGATGGCAAAAATAGTGTGCTTTTAAAATATAAAATGAAGCACTATACTGTAAATATTTTGACAACTATTATCTGTGCAAAAAGTTGTGTGGTGGAAAAAATATGCACAAAATTTAATGTAATTAAATGGTTTATCCATCCATCCATTACCTTTTACCCGCTTCTTCCATTTTGGGTCACGGGGGTCGCCGGTGCCCATGTCCGGCAATCACTGTGCGAGGGGCGGGGGACAACCTGGACAGGTCGCAAGTCCATCATAGGGCCACATAGAGACAACCAACCATTGACTCGCTCACTCACACCTAGGGACAATTTAGTTACCAATCAGCCTAACATGCATGTTTTTGGTTTGAGGGAGGAAACCGGAGTACCTGGAGAAAACCCATGCATGCACAGAGAGAACATGCAAACTCTACCCAGAAAGGCCCCAAAACAATAATAATCTATTTTGTTACAAGAACATATCTGCTGAGCTGAAAAATAGTACCATTTCTTTTGGGTTCTTTGTTTTATCATGAGGGAGTTTTTCCTTTCCACTGCTGCTTTCATGCTTGCTCAAGAAGAGTCTGCAAAGAAGTTAAACTCAAAGCAGTCTGCTCCTCAGATAAATGGTGTTAACTTACGTTTTATGTGTATGAATGTTTCTATGCAGTGCCCTGAGATTACTTCTGTTGTGACTTGGCACTATATAAATAAACTGAATTGAAAATCACGGGTTTGTTTTTATAAAAAAAATAAATCATACATAGGTTTTAGTTGTGAGCTGGCTTCAGCAGCATGCCAGTTGATATACCAGTCACGCTAAACTCATAATATTTCTGTCACATAAATAAACTTGAGGGTTTACTGTGGGTCGGTTCCTCAAAAGGTATAAAACACTGGACAAAGTACAGACTGGGCGTTACTTTATTCTTGAATGTAATATGAACAAGGAATCTAATTTATAGATCTTAACAATTAATAATATAAAATAAAAAACAAGTAACGCAATAGTGTTGTGGAAAAAGGTTTCTCAGGTTGTGGTACAATGGGTGATAGCTGAAATAATCAATAAGCTTTAGGACATTGAAAATGTCTTTTAGATATAAATTTTGGTGGTGACCATAAATTATTGTCCTCAAAAACAATTAGTGATGTTTTTTTTAAGATGTTCCCTTCAACATGTTATGGTTCCATCTGCATTAAGTCTGGCATTTTGTTTCATAAAATTTCACTATGTGGTTGTTTATTTTGGCACGAGAGAGATTGCAACAAACATAAACCTGTGTTTTCTCCTGACCATTTTAAACGAAGGAAATAATGTTCTACCTCAAACAGTGGATTTATAAACAATGAGTTCTGTAGTCAACTGTAATTGATGAGACATTCACAAATGACAACAAATATATCTGTATCACTCTCTTTAATGGCTTACATTGGATGACATCCTGCTCCAAAAAAAAAAAAAATAAAAAAAAAAAAAGGAAAACCAAACACCATTTTTATACATGTGGAAAAAAATTTATTACAATAATTTTCCAATATCATTAATAAATATTTAGGTTGTCGTTTCAAAGAATTTTATGGGTCTTTTTTTTTCCATACACGAGACATTACACAGTCAAAGATACATATTTTTAGTTTTTGTAATAAAGCTTGAATAAGATCATCTAGAAAAATGAATTTTTAAACAGCATTTCTTACGACCTACCAATCGATTTGTAACTTTAATAATAATTTGATTGAGTATTTTGTGTTGACGGAAAAGAAAACAAACAAAAGTCAGAATTTGGAAAACCTTGACGCTTACGTGACTGTTAAGATAGGCCTCTTTATTTAAAAAAAAAATTTCCATTGGCCTAAGGCACAAGTATACTCAAAGTTTATAGAAATCAAACGGAACATATTTTAAACCTCATTTGTCTTGAATTTAATCAAATACAGTAAGGTGCACTTGATATTTACACCTGTCATTGCATCTAAAAATTAAGCTCAAAAGAAAAGAATCTCCAGTTGACAAAAAAAACAAAAACACAGTTTAGCTGCTTCACATCTGTACATTGTGTGTCTGAAACTAGAAATGAATTAAAGATGAGTCATCTAATCAATTAAAAAATGGCATTAAGTTATTGTTTGGGCCTAACCTCAATCAGTTACAAGATTTCTGTGTCATCAGACAATTTAAAAGTCCTTTTAGGGGGGATGTTTGTTATCATATTAAAAATCAATTTATGTATCAATATAATGTAACAAAAGATTCTAATGCATTTCATTTGCTTCATCACTTATGTTATTCCAAAACAAGATTATTATTTTTTTAAATAATTTGTGATGGTGCACATTAACAAACTTTGGAGGTAAGCGAGACCTTTTTTCTCCCTGTAGTTCTTGGATAGACGTTACAGATTCATCCTAAAACAATTTAAAACGCACATTTTTGGTACCTAATGGGCATTTGGAGTGCATTTTTACTGCTGAAGGGTCAACTGTGAGTTCTCAGTGGTCCTCTAGAGATTTGAAAGAACTCAACGTTAAAAAAATTAAAGAAAAACAAAACAAAAAATACATCAGCTTATGGTTATCCTCCTTTTACATTTGCATTTGTACTCTAAACTCTATAAGACTATGTACTGCTGTGCACCAGACTTCCTGTGAATCGTGCTATTTTCCTAAAACCTGCACAATGAGGGGAAGTACTTAAGTTTGTGCCTTTTGCTGCAGCACAAATAACACTCCCTCTTGTGCAGTAGTAACAGACCATGAAGAGGTTAGGGAAACAGAGATTATATGAAAAGACTATCAGTTTCGGCAACAAAAGATAGAGGGTAAAATTCTGTTTTTCTAAGCTGAAAATGTCAGCTCCAAGACGGACAGTTATAGTAATGAGTAGTGCCTGTTCTCTCCGTAGTACACTGGCTAGTTAATGCTACTTTACTGGAGAAAAAAAGCCTAAGCAGAAAGACCACTAAAACCCAAAGAAGCAAATCAGCAGGAGCAATAAGTGACTATACTTAATTCCAGCAGCATTTTATGTGTGTGTGTTTAAGGTGTAAAGATAAGCGAGTCACAGTTGGGGTTTTCAGAGTAAAGAGTCATCTGTGCATCCTCCCTCAAGGCCGTAGCGAAACTCCTGCAGGTTGGAAACCCCGTAGAAGTGAATGAACGCTGCTGCCACGACCAGGACATGAAATATTTGATGAGAATGGAACTACAAGGAGGAAAGACACAAGTGCGCGTTAGTCACATGGAATAAGTACCATTTTTTTCGGACTATAAGATGCACTTAAAATCCTTTAATTTTATCAAAAATCGACAGTGAGACTTATAATCAGGTGTGGCTTATGTATTAATTCTGGTTGTGTTCAAACAGACTTTATGTGGTTATTGTGAATTAGTTGAATGAAGTTTGACTTATCGGACTGTTTTGTTTCGCTTAATGCACCTTATGTTTGAAAACAGACTCATTCATTGATATTGCACCTAATAGTCCAAAAAATACAGTATTCTAACAACAACAACAACAACAACAACAACAACAACAACAACAACAACAACAACAATTCTATTTTGTTTAATTAAAAACACAATTTTAAACTGATACTTCACATATTTCTGTTTTTACTTTTTCCCCTATTTGTTAACCAGTTTAGGAACATTCTTGGAACAGGAGAACATGATTTGGATTTAACTTAAAGTAGAAACCAGACTTTCTAAAAACACATCTGCTACAGTGCCTTGTGAAAGTATTCGGCCCCCTTGAACTTTTCAACCTTTGGCCACATTTCAGGCTTCAAACAAAGACATAAAATTTTATTTTTTGTGAAGAATCAACAACAAGTGGGACACAATTGTAAAGTGGAATTTATTGGATGTGTCAAACTTTTTTAACAAATAAAAAACAGAAAAGTGGGGCGTGCAATATTATTCGGCCCCCTTGCGTTAATACTTTGTAGCGCCGCCTTTTGCTGCAGTTCCAGCTGCAAGTCTCTTGGGGTTTGTTTCTATCAGTTTTGCACATGGAGACACTGAACTTCTTGCCCATTCTTTTTGCAAAACAGCTCGAGCTCAGTGAGGTTGGATGGAGAGCGTTTGTGAACAGCAGTCTTCAGCTCTTTCCACAGATTCTCGATTGGATTCAGGTCTGGACTTTGACTTGGCCATTCCAACACCTGGATATGTTTATTTGTGAACCATTCCATTGTAGATTTGTCTTTATGTTTTGGATCATTGTCTTGTTGGAAGATAAATCTCCGTCCCAGTCTCAGGTCTCTTGCAGACTCAAACAGGTTTTCTTTCAGAATGGTCCTGTATTTGGCTCCATCCATCTTCCCATCAATTCTGACCATCTTCCCTGTCCCTGCTGACGAAAAGCAGGCCCAAACCATGATGCTGCCACCACCATGTTTGACGGTGGGGATGGTGTATTCAGGGTGATGAGCTGTGTTGCTTTTACACCAAACATATCGTTTTGCATTGTGGCCAAACAGTTTGATTTTGGTTTCATCTGACCAGAGCACCTTCTTCCACATGTTTGGTGTCTCCCAGGTGCTTGTGGCAAACTTTAAACAAGACTTTTTATGGATATCTTTGAGAAATGGCTTTCTTCTTGCCACTCTTCCATAAAGGCCAGATTTGTGCAGTGTACGACTGATTGTTGTCCTATGGACAGACTCTCCCACCTCAGCTGTAGATCTCTGCAGTTCATCCAGAGTGATCAAGGGCCTCTTGGCTGCATCTCTGATCAGTCTTCTCCTTGTTCCAGATGAAAGTTCAGAGGGACGGCCGGGTCTTGATAGATTTGCAGTGGTCTGACACTCCTTCCATTTCAATATGATTGCTTGCACAGTGCTCCTTGGGATGTTTAAAGCTTGGGAAATCTTTTTGTATCCAAATCCTACTTTAAACTTCTCCACAACAGTATCTCGGACCTGCCTGGTGTGTTCCTTGGTCTTCATGATGCTCTCTGCACTTTGAACAGAACCCTGAGACCATCACAGTGCAGGTGCATTTATACAGAGACTTGATTACACACAGGTGGATTCTATTTATCATCATCAGTCATTTGGGACAACATTGGATCATTCATAGATCCTCACTGAACTTCTGGAGGGAGTTTGCTGCACTGAAAGTAAAGGGGCCCAATAATATTGCACGCCCCACTTATCAGTTTTTTTATTTGTTAAAAAAGTTTGACACATCCAATAAATTCCACTTCACGATTGTGTCCCACTTGTTGTTGATTCTTCACAAAAAATTAAAATTTTATATCTTTATGTTTGAAGCCTGAAATGTGGCAAAAGGTTGAAAAGTTTAAGGGGACCGAATACTTTCACAAGACACTGTATCTGTCAGCTTTTAATTTTCCCCTTGCTTCTGCATTTTGTGAACCAGGCGTTATAAAAGGGTACTGGAATTGAGAGACCGTATGTATGAGGTCATTTTTATAAGTTGAATAACTATTTTAACAGGTTTAATAATAAAAAATGTACAGTTTTGAAAATGATGCTCAACACTAAATTGAGAAGAAAAGAAAAGTACATACTTATGTGAGACTGAACTCTTTCACGATAATTTATTTGCGTTTCCTGCAGCCCAGATCTGACAGATTAAACACTTACCCAAATGTCACACTTTCCAGGAAAAAAGCGTTCAGGGATCCTTGCAGCGTACAAACCGGCACCAGTGATGTACATGGCACCCATCAGATAAAACCAACCCATCTGTCCCACGGTGGTGGCCTTTACAAAGCCCTCCTCGATGGTGAAGTGCATGGTGGGGACAATACCGCTCAGTCCAAGACCCATAAATACACCTAAGAGCAACAATTATCAGAACTACTTAAATGATAGAGATTTCCACACAGTACGTTTTCTCTCTGCACACTTTGCAGAAAAGAATCTCCACTGCTGGAGGAAAAGCATAAATAGTGACGGAAGCAAACAACTCTACAAAACTGTGGCGGTTTCACATTATCCTCACCTGCTCTTGTAGGTCTGTGACGAGGTGTTGAGAATCGGTCCCACTGGGCAACTACGATGGCAGCAATGCCAAGAACACATACAATGGTGAGGTAGATAAGTCGAGGCTGAGGGGAACAGTAGAACGAGTAGTACAGCCAGGGCACGAAGGAACCCATGATTAGAAGTGCAATGCCCGAGTAGTCAAGCCTGAGGAGAGAGCGTCACAACGATACATGAAGGCTGATTAGAAAACAAGATTTTTTTTTTCATTTTATATTAAACCGGTAATGAAAAAGTTTACAGTGTTGCTGTTACGCCTATTTAACATCATACTTATTGTTTAGAAAGTAACCTTTTATATGTAAAAATTCATTTTTGGGGACATCTTTTGGGTTAAAGTACAAACTTTTAGCATTAACATATTGATTGTGTCTTTTTTATTTTTATTTGTATGTACCAAACAAGATAAGATGCCACAAATTGTCTTAATGTTTTCCCAAGTATGATCCAAATCACAGAGTTCAAGTTTTCTGCAATATAACATGATTAAAACATTGTTCCCATTTAGAATAAATGGAAGCACCGTACAGTGTGATGCCATTTAAAGTAACTTGGGGTTCAATATTTTCAGACACGTCGACATTAGAAGGAGCTGTGAGCTGAACTGTAAACACCAACACCTTTTTAACCACCTGAAACACACCCAGCCATTCCTTCATTGTCCCTGTAAAGCTTTACAAGAGTGTCTGAGTTCTCAGAAAGCTAAAATTAAAAAATTACTGATGGCTACAACACCTTATTTAATTCTTGATTTGGTAGATGAAACAAATGTTCACTTCATGGCAACTACTTCTGCAATAATAAATTTAAAAAAGGCAGTCTGTTTGTATGAGAGATTTATTTTTTATAATTAAGACTTTGGTTAAAGCATCAGAACAAAGAAAAAGGAAAACGGTCCTGGAAAATGAAATGTTTCCCATATTCTTACATTTTTCCCCTACCCATCTACATCTGGAAAACATTCAGAACAAATTTTATACTTTTCATAACAGCACAGAAAACCTGTGCTTACACATGATATTAATTATGTGTGCAAAATTGCACACGTTCATGAAGTTAATACACGAAGAAGCCTAAAGATGAATTAGTTTGTTCTTGTCTGCGTGTGTGTGAGGCCTACGTGATGCAAGTTTCTTCTTTAACACCAGCAGTGAAGATCTAATGAGTCTGATCAGGATCAGCTCAAAAATGTTTAACCGTGCACGCTGACTAAACACGTAGCTTTATCAGTCTTCCGGACAAAAACCTAACAAACCAGATAGGGCAGAAAAACAACATATGATTGTTGTCTCGATGAGAAACTGAATATGTGATTTTCTAGCGAGGACTGTAGACTAATTAAACACGCCTGTATAAAAAGCTTTGCTACAACAGGAAGAAATTATAGTTTGAATACAACCACCTGTGTATCAACAGAGTCCTGAGGCATTCACCATAAACTAACGGGAGCAATAGTACCGGAGCCGGTGGCCAGCAATAAAAAAGTGATTTCTGTTCAGGTGCATCATTCTGTGCCCTGAGATAACTTCTGCTGTGACTTGGTGCTATATAAATAAATTGAATTGAATCATTCTGTTTCACCTTCACCCACAGGTGCTGTACAAAATCTGTAAGACCTATAATGTTAGAGTGCTAACAAGTTACAAAATGTGCACGGTTTCTTATAAATGTATGTTTGACTGAAAAAGAGGATAGTGGTTAAAACGTTAATACTGATTAATGTCCAATGTTGATCTTATACTCATCTGTTTTTGTATCTTTTGACTACTGCGCAGCAATATGTGCCTGAGCAAAAAAGTAAGAAACAAACAAAGAAACCACATTTTGCTACTTTTAGCCCTGTGTTTGTTTCTTAGAAATCACACAACACTCAAAGAAGAAAACTTGAGCTCCGTGTTCAGTATTAAAGCATTACCGGTGACAAATGTTCAAAAGGTATAAAGTCACGGAAACAAGCGACACTTTAACTTACTTCAAACGATTCAAAAGGCATCAGGGACAAAGATTGTTAGACAGTATGAGCCCTTACTTGGAGAACGTGCGAGACACTTTTTCTGAGTGGCAGTAGACGGTATGAAAGAGCCAGGAGAAGCTGAGGCAGAGGACGGCTCCCAGGAAGAACATCCCAAACACAACTTTCTCCTGCAGCGGTGCCATAAAATACATGTTGGGGCGCAACATCGTTAAAGTGCCCAAACAGACGAATAAGATCCAGCCTGAGGAACACAAAACGACGTCAACTCCTTCAAGAAACTTGGCTTAGAAATCACCAATGTGAAAGAACAAACAAACAAAATAAATAAATACTGGTATAATAACTTGTGAATACAATTATTTTCATGCTCACCTAGCAGGTGAGTCCAGATGTTTCCCGTCTCAGTGTGAATTCTGAAGATGCTTCCAAAGCAGGCTCTGAAGGAGGGCATAGGAGGACGATGCCCATGCAGGAGGTAATCATTGTCCTTCAGCCAGTCTGGCAGGACATGAAAAGGAATGACCCTCCAGCGTCCCTCCCAAACCTAAAAAGTAGCACAAATTTAATTAATTTCACACTCTACAGATTAAATATACAACTGCTGATCGAACGTCTGAGAAATCAGTTTAAAGATACAAATTTTCATGAATGAACACTCATAGAAGATGTGGAACTATAACAAAAGTATATTTTTTAACAATTCATTGTCTAAAAGTGCTATCAATTCTTAGACGCACGTATCTTTGTCATTCAAAAATGTTCAATACAAAAACAACTGGACTTTATTTGTAACAGAATACGTTTCGCTCCTCAAATTTATTTATTTACTCATTTTATTTTATTATTTTATTCATTTATTTTGCAAATAAAGTCCAGTTGTCTTTGTATTGAACATTTTTGAATTTATCATGTCCTGGATGACTGAGAATCTTCACCAGCATATCTTTGTAATTCTAACAAGGTTCTCTGGACGGATTCTTCTTTGTGGAAATGTTTTGTCTTATCCAATAGAAGATATTACAAGACCGAGTTTATAGCAGCTCCTCAGACTGAAGAAGTATTTTGGATAAATAAAAACAACTGGGCTGCAAATTCCACCCAAATGTATCAAAATGATTCCATAATAATAAAAAAGACGTTATGCAGAAAAGCTTGAGGTTAGCTGTAACCTAGTGTGTTAAGTTTCAGGTTATTTAAGGTGGCCACTGCATTATTTAATGTAGTTGCAGACAATCTGCTGTGCACTTTGTCACGACTGAGAGGAGATAACCTCCTCTTGACAAAAACTTTGATATATTAAGGTTGTTGTGGTGGGAAAAAGGTTATCAAGGGTAAAAAGGAATAGGCATAAGTGAATGTTTAATGAAGGGAGAAACATAAATGAGGATTTTTATTTTTATATGGTAAAAAGGGAGTAAGAACTAATTTTATGTCCTGAATGGACTCCAAGTATTTTCTTGTTGTTCTATAGTACTAGTGATTATGTCATTCTAGAGTAGTGGCGTGCACATCCATTATTATTCTAACTTCGAAGTAATGAACACAGTGTTGTACAAAAGTTCTTGTGACTTCTACGGCCGTCTAAAATTTCTGTTTAACCCACTGAAAACCCACAATTACCTTGTGTACAAACTCCTCCATTTTCTCCATGGCATGGTGAGCCTGAAGAGGTAAAGTCAGAACCTCTCCCACCTCATCATCTTCCTCATCATCATCATCAGTAAGCATTGCTGCTCCCTGAACAGAGTTAAAGCATCACTGTTACAGAGACGCCAAACATCACTAAGATTTCTCTCTGGATGTTTGTGCGACACACAGCCTACCTCTGAATGGACACTTTTGGATTGCCCCTGCCGGCCCCCTCCCTCCTCCAGCAGTGGCCCGAGCTCCATCAGCTCAACATCTGGGACACTGCAGTCCTCAGAGATCCGACAGTCTGAATCAGTGGCAGACCCGTTTCGGCCTGACATGAGACTGCCTGATGACCCACTCACAGCGTCTGTACTCCGCTTCAGATGGTACGCAACAGTTTGCTACTGAAAGAGCCAAAATGACAAACAATGATATGTCATCACATTCCCTTTAACTATCAATACATCACATTAAATTGTATGCTAATACGTTGGTACAACTAATCTAAAATTACACAAAAATAACTGCAATGGACACAAAAAGGTTTGCGACTTTGTGTTTTCATTTTCAACCAGATAATGATTTAACTGCACACCAGGGATATCACCAAAAACCTAGCTTTCAAAAAAAATAAATAAAAAAGTGAGTTGTTCCTAAGTTTTTCTCTCCTTTTCATCACCTGAAGGCACCTGTTCAAATAGAAAAGTGCCAACCTCATTAAACGGCACAATTAAAGAAAAAGCCTTGTACATTATTTTATAACAACTAATATCTATTCTGTATACACTGACCACTAAAGGAATTTATTTCCCTAATTTTGTTTTCACTAAACATTTTTAGAGGTGTTGAACAGTTGTGTCCTTTGCTTTCCTGAATTTTTTTTTTTTTTTTTTTAAATAAAGGTTGCATTTTTAAAAGTAATAAGTCAAACCTTTCTAATTGACCATTTTTGGAGATGTAATTGTTTGATAATCCACTTCGTATTGACCTACATATAGGGTCTATTTTTTTTTATGTTTGATTGATTCACAGGTAAGTTTTGTGCTTAAAAAAACAGCTCAAAATAAGTTAAGGGGAAAATGATCCACTGCACAAATAAAATATTTTGCTGTTAACCTTCTTAAAGGCAGAAGTAGTTCCGCTAAAGATTAAAACCCGACACACATAAAGCAAAAATATAAGAAATGATGGACTTTTGAAGACAGAATTCATGTTAATGTGCTCACTAATGTGAATTATGTCATGACTGTATGAAAGGATTACTCTACAATAAAAATATAACAGATCTGCAGTAAAGCAAAAGTCAAAGATTAATTATTTTTTTCGCATGTTAAGTCAAAGGCTGCCAGACGGATGTTAGCAAAGCGTCCGACGGTGGGAACATGACGATGAGCACAAAGTAAACAAGCGCAGGACGCACAGCCAGTCCACTGTAACACTGCGGTGTGTTACAATTCACCAAAAGATGCTGAAATAACAAAGAAGGTGCTTAGGTGAAGTCAGTGAACCAGCGGTTATCGGATACATCAGGTTGGTATTGTTACCTTTGAGCTAACGCTGAGCTGTCGCTTACCAGCCGAGCAGGAAATTTTTTGTTGCATTAACTTGCTGCCAGAAAAAACACCGGTTTTCACAACGACACCAACGTAAAACGTTAGCTAGCTGAAAAACCGTCCCAACGTCGTCAATAATTACTCAAATAAATGGCCCAAAGTTACCTGACGAGGAAGCCTCCTGTACATGAAAGTAAAATATTTATGGATGCGCGAAACACAATTCTAGCCGGAAGTTTAGCTAGCTTCCGCTAAAGATTCCATTTCCGGTTTTCCAAAATAAAAGCATTGATATACGTATGTTATTATTTGATACACGCATGATGACATTTATAATTCCTTTATTAAATTTGTTAAATCTCTATTCTTTTACATTGTTTTGTTGTGGCATCACTGAACGTATAATTTAAACGGAGGGGAAAGGACATCTGCTAAGTAAGAAAACGTTAATTGAATTAAAACAAAGTTCAATAAGATGAAAGCTTTAAGTTAGACCCCATGGATGCCAATAAAATAAAATAAAGCAGTTCATTGTTAAAAGACAAGTTGTTTTTAACTTCAATATAACTGATAGTGCAAGCATGGTAACTCTAAATTCCACACATCTCCTCCTTCATGTCTGCGTGAGTGCAGCTACAGCATGCGCTCTCAGGACATTATTACCTGCAGTGTTCCCTCAGTGCGAACTGAACTAGGCAAAAGCGCCTTCTCCTACTCTGCTCCTGTTTCCTGGAATATCTTACAAAAAGATTTGAAGCTCTCGACCTTGACCTCTCCAAGTGGCTTTAAGAATCTGTTGGACTCCTGGCAGGGACCAATGCAGACATGTTCCTGTTTTTTAGTTTTCTATATTCGCCTTAGAATCTAGCTGTTTTTTGTTACTTTTCTTTTATTTTTGCCATCCTATTTGTTAAAAAAAAAAAAAAAGTATGACTTTTTATAACTGTTTATTGTTGTCGCTGTTGTCCATTGTTGTCATCATTCTTTGTTGAAATCAGGTCTCTCTTGTAAATGAGTCCTCGAGGCTCAATGGGATTTACGTGTCTAAATAAAGGTTGAAAGAAAAAAAAAAATGTCCCTAGGTGAGTGTGCCTGCTGGAGAGGTTGTTTGTCTCATTTGTCTGTGACCCTGTGATGGACTTGCAACTTGTCCAGGGTGTACCCTGCCTCATGCACAGTGACTGCTGGACGTCAGCACCAGTGACCTCTGCAAACTGGAAAGGAAGAAGCGGGTAAAGATAATGGATGCATGTATGCGATGTATCTGTGCTCCAGCACTAACTTCATAAACTAACATCACAGTTGCATTTAGTAGACATCTGATAAAAATGCCAAAGATGTTCAAAGAAGTAAAACCCAGATCCCCAACATTAAAAAGCTTCTACAACCTGTTAAATAGATTTTCTCACTGCTAAGGTCTCAGAATCTGCTCCATGACTGATGCTTATACTTTCAAATGTCATGCGCGTGGCCCAAGAGCCAACACTTGATGATCACTTGTCTAAAACCTAAATTTAAAAAAAGTGTCTTCATTCTGTTCAATCAGATGATGTATTTAGTAGAAATCACAAATGCATAAACAAGTATATATATATATATATATATATAAGTTGTGCAATCATGCTTTGCAAATCAAACCTAAAAGAATAAATAAAAACTGTCTGGAATTGTTTTTCCTATAGAGATAAATGGATAAACTCACAAGTTTCTAAAACATTTGGACATATTTAAATATGCAAACTAACTTGCAGCTAAGAGAAAAAAAATGCCGCTTAAGAAACTGAAAATCGTATGAACAAAATCCAAATGTTAAAGTCCAACACCCCAATAAACAATAATGAATCTTGTGCGTTTCTTCTTTTCGTCTTGGTGTTTATAAGCAAATGTAAACAAAATATAAAAGTACACAGCACAAAAATATGAAACTCAACAAATGTCAAACAATACTATTTATTTATTTCCATGGAGATGTTAAACAACATATTTAGATAAGACTATAGCTAAAACAGATAAATAAAAAGAGGCACAATAGGAAATGTGATTGCAGTCATGTCGTGTTTATACACTGGATTCGTTCCGCATTCTCAGGTCCATGTCTGATTTTATTTCAAGTCTTGTTGTCCATGGGTCCAGTGGTGCAATTGATAATAAATTAACACAAAAAGATCACTATGAAACACCACTCAGTGTCAGCTGCAGATAAACTTGTTGTACCGGTAGTTGTCTCCTTCCTAAGCAGTTTAAAATGACTTGTTGAGTGAAAAGATTTACATTTCCCCCCAAAAAAACACTGATTTGGGGGTACCGCTCATGTCAATGAAAGTATTCTTGGTTTTTACAAAAAGCTATTTATAAAAATAAAATAAAAAAGTTCATAAAACACAAAAAGATACAGCTGAAGCTCCAAAAACTAAAGTTGTGATTTGTCTTAAGAGCTGCCAAACATCAGACTTTTGCTTCAATCTAAATCGTCTACTTTAGTTGTAATGTGATTAAGTTTAGTTAGTACTTTGTTCTAACTAGCTGAGTAATTTGGTTATTTCACAGCCTCAAAACAGAACATTTGCCTCCAAAAATACATGACAAAAAGATCAGTCTCAGGAACAAAACTTGAAGCAGCTCAAGTATTTGAAAGGACAGGCTGAACATATTTATTACTAAATAATAATTACATTTGCTTGATGAAAATGAAAACACGATTTTCTGTCTTCCAAACTGAAAATAGTTTAAAGCATTTCCCTTGAACGCCGTTACTCATCCAATTTCCATAACTTTCCATTATTTTGTAATCAAGCCAGTTGTTTTTGTCAAAGAGCAATATTAGTGACCCCGCTTGTAGAGGAGCTCGTTATTCTCATGCTCTTATTTTAACAACTGCTCAACATTTCAAGCTTTAGAAACATTTCAGTCTTTTTGGGGGTACTTATAACCCAACTGGAATGACAAATTTCCTCAAATTTTAAATAGGAAAATGAATGAGCTTATCATTTTTAATACTTCTAAAGCATTCAGTTCAGTCCTTGGTTTTTAACTGGAAGAACTTTTCCAAAGAGAGCGGATAAACAGAAACACTTTATCGTTGCTCATCAAATCTACCTCTGCTCTGTCAACTTGCTGACTTTCTGCAAACATGAAGGTGTTTGTTTTGCTCAGATGCAGCAAAGAAAGTAAAACAAAAATCACAATAACTTTAAACAAAACAAGCAGTTCATCGTAGATAATCAATTTTTTGATCACTTCACTTTGGCTGAATGGGAAAACTCCAGTCTTTGAGTGAAAGAGTTCAAAGTAGCTTCTCTTCACACTTGACTGATGTAGTGGGTGCCATCGTCTATGAGCCAGGGCTCGTGAGTATCTTCCGCAGCTCTTTGAAAGGTTCCTCTTTGAATACCCTTAAAGTTAGGAGAAGATAAAATCAGATTTTCTGTTAAATCCCAGATAAAGTCATGATGATAGAAAAACCTAACAGGTGATTTGTTTTATAAATGCCTTAAAAATGGACAAGAAAAGGGGAGGGTCTTAATATCTGAGCACTCAAATAATCATAATCACAAACACCTCAATGAACATCGTTTTTATGTTTGTATCATTTGAACACATTTTATCATATAAATGTTTCTCAGTTGTATTAATTAAAATGAAAACAGTCACACTTTATAAAAACAAGCTGTATATTCTTTTATCAGAAAAAAAATATCAAAAATTTCCACAAAATACAGTTTAAAACATGTCTGCATCATTTCAAGACAAGTAATTACTTAACTGACTGAAAGCCAACAAACATTACAAGTACCATGAAACTGAAATAACTAAATAAAAAAGAGACATTAGTCTTATTATTCTTATCTGTACTTTACCTTTTGCCTCTGAGACACACTGGGACATACATTATTGCTGTGAAAAGACAGTTACCGGTAGTTTGGTGTTCTTACTTGTTCATGGTATGTCTGATTTTGGTAGAGCGCTGCCTCCCGAAACGATCCACTTTTAACCCGGACCGCTCCTTGTCTGTCCAGAGAACGAGACCTCGGTGCTTTGAACTGACTGCGGAGGTGCCATGACTTCAGTTGCTCATTCACTACTTGGCGAGGGAGACCGTTTGAGCGGTACTGAGGATAGTCCATGTGTGCTGGTGGGGTGACCCTGATTTCAGGTGGAAGGGGCCTCTGCACTCTCTGAAGAGGTACAGAAGCTTCTCTGTAACAATAGTCATATCTGGGAGTTTGCTGAGAGAAACGACTCCGTGTCATGTCTACTTCAGGCAAGTAGACCATTTCTTCATTGTAATAGGTTTTCTGCACACCGGGACAGAACATGTATCTTGGATTATGGTGAAAACTAGAGGAAAGGAGAGCTTGAGGCCCATAGTTGCCATCTGGGCTAGAAACAGGGAATCCAGACTGATACTGATGAGGTAAATTAGAAGGAAACTCTTGACAAGGGGAGCTACTGTAAGAAGAAAATGATTTTTCAGAGCTGCTGTCCTCAGAACTGACATGGTTTACAAAGCTCATTGTCGGAGAATGAGCGTCTGGTAGCGTTATTCCAAATTCGGTGAGTCGCCTCCGAGGACCTCTGGGACGACCGCGGTCCTTAGGGACTGATGAGTCATGATTGGACAGTCTGTGGAAATCGCAACAGCAAGTAAGTCAACGAAGATAGAAGATTTAACAACAAAAAACTTTCAATAAATGAACAAAAATTGAGGTGCAGGTACCTGAGGGAGAGCTGTCTACGCACACGCATTTCTGGTGTGGAGGGCGTACTGTTTGACTGGGCGCGGCTCAGCCTCAGATGGGACAGCTGCTGTGGTAAACTGGTTTGTAATATGCAGACCTCAAGCGGGGGCAACAGTTCAGATTTGGTTGGAGTGCTGAACACACAAAAAAGGTTTTCTTATGAACTTATGAACACGACATGGTTTAAAGTTAGAAGTTGTTTTCTTCTGTTTTCTATAACCGAGAGAAAAAGATTTCATAAAGCGTGGTTTCAGAAACCATTTATAATTCATCATCCATCCAAACTAAGCAACTTTTGGTATTGATTTCTGTGTGCACATTTGTAAATGTGTCAGGAACACTGCCATTTATGACACCTATAAATGTGCATCCACACACACAAAAACAATGCAAATGATCATAAACCATTTTTTTTTTAGCTGGGAAATCAATGTAGAGCAAAGAGTGGTCTATACTTCTGTCTCATAATCTGAAAATTACAAAATATTCACAAATAATTGTGGGCTTTATCAACAAATGGTGTGGCACCACTTTACAAACAGATGGCGGTATTGCACATTTCTTTATACCACAAGCATCCGCTAAAGTACAATCAGAATCAGAATGCCTTTATTGTCATTATACGCAGTACAATGAAATTAAGAGCCACTCCTTTTTCCAGTGCAAAAACACGCCTTAAGAAAACACACATTAAACACTAAACACACACTAAAAATATAAAAAATGTAACGCAATATAGATATAATAATGAAAGTAAAAAAATACAAGTATTACACAATTGTATTGCACATTATGGATATTAGTGAGGTAGTTAAGGTGATTGAGAGTATTAAATGTCAGTAGTATTGCACAGTAGAAGTCCAGGTGTTTGGGAGGTTAGATTATTAAATCAGTGCATGTGTGAGTTCAGTGTGGTGATGGCTTTCAGGAAAAAACTGTTCTTGAACCTGTTTGTTCTTGTTGAACTGGTAGTTCTTTCTGATCAGTAGAGGAAGTTAACAGTAGATCATTTGTTGGAAATGACTTCTCTACAGTACACAAGGAACATCTATTTTGACAGAAAAGAGTTTTAGTTTCTTACAAAGTCAATATAGTCGCCACATACACTAACACGCTGGTGTAAATTTAGTGGTGCTCATATTAAAAGAAACTGGATTTCTATTCTGGGTTCTTGATGATGTTTCATGTCTTCAAAAACCATGATCAGAACTGATGAAGCCTTTAAGATGAGAGGCTAAAGGTCTTAAAAAACTAAAAAAATAAAGACTTTTTTTCTATTTCACACCCTTAGGATTATATACTGTATGTAATTTTATGACACAACATCACAGGCCATTTTGGGTTATTGTATAAGTGAAAATTATTGTTTTTTGAGGCATGAAAACACTTAAAAGTCAAGGTTAGAGCCCATCCTTCCACAGATTTTAAACAGCACTTTCCAGTCAAGTTATATTTTCTGCTAAATACTTGAAAAACACAAACGGGGTTATGATGAATGGATCTTTTACCTCGTTTTGCTGGAGGAGTGTGACTTCTTGCTTTTCTGGTAAGGTTGGTCCAGACTAGACTCTGCCCATGGGGAGTGTTGGATGGGAGGGGGGTCATACGCAGGGCTTGAATTTAAACTCGACTTAGAGTCAAGGCTAGGACAAGGAGATCGACAGGAGTTCAGCAGCGGAGACTGAGGAGCCGCAGTGTGAGACATGTAGGAGCCGTCTACGGAGGAACGTGTGGACAAGAGGAGAGGCTGGGGAGGATCCGTTTCCACAGGATAAAGAAGCCCCAATGATCGCTGTGAGGACTGGCTGGCAACTTCTAATAAAAAAGAATAATTACATTATTGCAAAGTACTTAATAATAATGCACATTAATCATCACCACAGGAAAGCTACTTTTATGACAAGAAACTGAAAGCAGAGGCATTCAAAAGGAAAAATCGGCTGAAGCGTTTTGACATGTTCATGTTTTATAGTTACTTGGTCAGGCGGCAAAACTAAAAGAAAACTTTTCTCAGTCCAACTGGAAAAAATACAATTTTCCATTCATACAAATTGAAACAAGTCAAATCTCACCTTCATCTTGCACCACAGAATCAGATAAAGAACTGTCATCAGATGTGCCAAGATCTAGAAAACGGGAAATTTCTCGGGTTATAAAAAGAATATGCCAAGGAACTATAAAGGGGATTTATTATCAGACAATCATCCAGTGCCATGTCTGGACAGGAGTCTATCACCTTGTGTAATATTGAAAGCAGGGAGTGGTGATGATCGGCCACGCTCCAGTCGCAACTGGAAGACCTTTTCTTGAAGCTTCTTGACTTTTTTCTCCTCGACTTTGCACTGCTGCAGCCGGCTTTTCCTAACAGCCTTGCTCAGGTGATCTTCTTGGCAGAGCTTGCGTGCAGCTTCATAAATCTTCATCTGAAGTGCCAACTCAGCGTCCACTAAACAGAGCTCCGAGTCCTTTGAAAAGGTTGTAGCAGAGTGAGACAACATTGTAAGTTTCGAGACGAAGCACATCTGTTACATTTATGCGACATGTTACACTGATTAGGTTCCATCTCGCGGTCGCTAAATGCTTCTTGTACCTCTGATCTTTCAGGGATGTTTGGTTCTTCAAGTTTGAATGCCGCTCCGATGCGTCTGCGGATCTGTGGAGGTTTCTCTCCAGGCAGCAGAGGGTAATCTTTTGGCAGCTTGCCTGTCAACTCCTAAACACAAACGAAACGATCAAAATACAACAATCCATAGTTATGTGTGAACACTACTAAAAGTTTATTGTTTTAAAAGAAAAACAAGGGCTTGGTTAATTTCTAATTAAAACAAAGGCTTGGTTAAAATCACAACTGATAAATCTTTTGTTTACTTTCTTACTGATTCTTTTAACAAGAGGTTATCTAATCATCTTCATGGCAGTTGGGAAACAATGTGCAAAAATCCCATCTGATCTCCTAACAAGTTCAGACATATAGGCCCAAAGAAACGGTTGCCCAATTCTGTATTAGTAGTAGATTTTCTTTCACAACTACATTCTTTGGACTTCACTTTCTAACAAGTTTCTTATCTGGTCAAATCAAAAGCACGGCGGATGCTCTGTTCAGTGTCATAAAAGAAAAGTACAAAAGCTTTATTCAAAGTCAATCAGAGCCCATTTTTAACACAACAAAAACATTAAGTGTGGCCAAAAAGCCTCCTTATTCTTTGACACTGAAAGGAGAAAGAGGTATTGGGACACCAACGAGTTCACACGAGCAAGTCTCAACAGGTGTGCCAAGCCCGAGTGTCAAGAGGAAACAATGTTCAGTCCTGGGATTTTACCCTGGAACAAGGTATCACCTGAATTAAGTGTCCAGAAATAAAATGACTTTAATGGCAGCTTTTTAAAAAAATTTCACAAAGCAAAAAAGCAAAAAAAGTAAAAAAAAAACCTAAAGAGATGACGTGAAAAGCTTAAACTCCAACTTAACAATCAGGATAAAAGCTATAATATATTTTTATAAACACTGCAGTAATAATGAATGTTCTATTAAAAAAATGAAAATAGAAAAAACTGAATATCTAAGATCAGGTGATTAGATATGAACACATTAGTTTTGCCTCAGTGGAAGCCTTGTCTGGTGACTGCAACATTAAGTCCATAAAACAGTAGTAGGGACAAGTTTAACAAAGTGTTACTTTTCTTGCATGAACACAAATCAACCATTTCCTTGCCAACCCTGCATGAATCGTCTCTTTTATAAATCATCCTAGTCATGTTACAATAAAAACCATCAAAGCAAATTTTCTGGAGATTATGTGGACAAATCATTTGAGCATTTCTTGGGAGTTGTTTGTCACAAATGTACTTTACAAAGGGAGAATATTTTGCTGTGATGTGTTCTCAAGCTGGAAATGAGAGATGAGGATATCTGGACAGAAGGAGGAAGTATATTATGATTATAAGAGGATGCTGTGAAAACTCATGCTTTGTGTTTGCAGCATTTTTGTATCGTCAAAAGGGAAATTTCCAATGACTGTTTTCGTCTCAATCTCAACACTCCATGTACTTCATTGTATTTGCAAAATCATGTGTGGAAAGCAAAAAAAATAGGATATGAATGCTCACAGTCAGCAAATGTAGATTAAAAAACATCCTATCACCTTTCCTTCATGTAAAAAGATTTCTGTGGTGTAAGGTCAAAAATCTCTAACATCAAAAATTCAATGTTGAAACGATATTTTTGTTTGCCTGTACTGCCCCTGTGGAACGTCTCTGCGAAAACAGCTTTGGTTAACCTGCAGTGAAATGCGTCATCAGAACCGTGAACGAAACTGCTCCCACCAGTTTAATCCTCTCTAAGAAGGAGCTGAATCATAAAACACGCTGACAGTAGAGCACAACAGCCGGCTCCATCACACCCTTTTTATCGCTCGTCACTGAAAGTACAACGTTTTGAGCTGTGCGCGTGGGTTCGGGTATCTTTTACTTAAACATCTCTTGAACCAGAGGACAAATTTTATTGGAACGTCTCAGAAAGTCATCATTGGATCCACATCTACAACTGATTAGCTTTTAGAATCAACCTGACCTTTAAAAAGACACTACAATGACTATCATTCGGTTAAATTTACAACTATTGAGTTAAAATTTGATATATCAGTAGCTGAATGTCATTCACTACACAGCGAGATCCCACAATATTGTGTGATAATATCATGCACAACAATACTTTCAATGTTGGACCAAAATGGCTGCAACTCTTGTCATTTATCAACATTAGATGATTTTAGTCTAAAACTCTGGCATGAATGGTTGCAGGTGATAAACCCTTTAGAACACAAATCTTTATAATCATGTAATTTCTCTGTCCTGCTTTCCATGCAACTTTTATATTTTGTAACAAAGTTTTTAAGGATGATCTGACAGCTTTACTTACGGCCTCTCGGATGCAGAGCTTCTTCAGCTCCAGTAAACACATCTCCAGCTGGTCTTGGAGGGCCTGGTGTTTAATCTTCATGGCCCGTGTGTGCGTTGTCACATCCTTCGTATGAGTGGTTGGGCTGTCAGAGCCTGCATCATACAACAACAGAAAGAAAATAAATAGTTATACATGGTCGAATGACTAACAAAAGTTTTTTTTTATGTTATTGCTAATGCTAATAAATACCAAAAGGATCAAATTAAAACATGTTTGATAAAACTAATAGGAAGTTAGGATAAGTAGTTTTAATATTAGGTTTTTTTTTTATGTTTGAGCTTGGAAAGTTAAAACAGCAGACAGGGTTAATAAGTTTTACTCAGTCTGAACAGGAACCAGGAACAATCCCTGTCTTTGTTCAGTTTTTGTTGACACTCTGTCACATAAATGTTGTTTCAAGTGTCTTTTTTGATGCAGTTAAACTGCATTGCATTAGTGACAAGTCAACGAGCAGACCGAATACCTGTTTACACTCTTTATGCACAAGAATTTGAGAACAAAGTCAGTTGATTATTTTTTGAAAAAAAAAAAAAAAATTACGAGTGCTTAAAAAAGATTTCATGTCAAGGAAGTGAAACTGGTCTATTCATGAATCCAAATCAGTTGTAAAATGAGTTGGATCAGTTATTAATGCTAACTTTAAAAAAACCTAAATACTACACAATGATAGTTTATGTTTTAATTGAATTACTTTACTTTAACATTTTAATTTTAGATCATTTTTATTGTCATCTAGACAGTCATCTGTATAATAAAATGTAGAAGAATTTCCAGTGGCCACTGCAGCCGGCGACTGTTTTGACAAGAAATGATTTAAACCACACTGGTATTCTGAACCAAAGAAAGGATCCTTTGTCTTTATCGGAGTATTCATTAGCGACATCGAAACTGCAAAATCAGTATCAGGATCTCTGTAACTCTAAACAACGCGAGTGCTCCACTGGCGCTGTCTGTAGCCTTGGTGACTGATGACAATGGGAGTGGCAGCAGGCAAAACGCATTTAACGCCAAATACCTTGAGAGATTACTAGAAGAATCCCTGCAGGTACTGACAAACATCAGAGGTACGACAGGAAGGAAATAGTGACAGCACAACAATGGGCTAAAGAAGCCCTCAATTTTCAGCAACAATCCTCTCCTTTTCATTGCAGATTGACACGGTTCATTGTATGGAGCAAAAAACACGTGGCTCAAATACAAGGAATGTCACAAAATCAGCACACAGCACTGAGCAAGGAGAAAATATTTGGGACAATGCCTAATCTAAATGACAAAAACAGATGAAAACTGTAAAATTGTGGATTGGCTTGCGGTACAAATATGCTTACTGTGAATGCTATTTAATTAACTAATTAATAGATTTGTAGTGACGGCAAATTATAGATTGACTGTGGATCTTAAACCTCTGCAAATGGGAAATAAATGAACAGAAAAGATTTAAAAAGATTAAATATTGACTTCTCTTTTCAGCTCATTTCCTTTATATAGCACCACAACATTCTAAGACGAGTCACACGTCTGAAGCAATTAATTTAAAAACTAAATAAAAAAAGTGTTCAATAAATTCTATCTAACCAAACAGATTTGAACTAAAACTGCTGCAGCAGTAGAACAGTTAAACGAGCACTTTCTTGAAGCAGAAGCAGAAAAAGTTTAGAAAATTCATTTCCTAAAGCACAAACATCATGAAGTTAACTGGAAGTTAAATTCTGAATCTAATTAATGAAAAAATATAACATTTTTGTCACACAAACCCACCTTTTTTTTTTTCTAGAAAAGTAAATAAAGTCGTTTTTCCAGAGAGGCAAATGTCAAGTTTGACAGAAACAACATGCAGTAATGTCATTTGAGTCGATGAAGACTGAATCTCAGGACTAAAAGTTTCACAAGGAGCAGATATAGTGGTTTGCAATTAACTAGGAATAATTATATCAGACAACCAGTTCCTCATTTCTGCCAGAGGCTTCATTAGTTGCTGCTGACATCACACAACTAAATCTCTAACCAAAAGTGTTGGTGAGCTTAAAGTTTATGACTGAGTACATTATATATCTGTCTGATAAAGTTTGAAGTTTTAAGATTTTTTTTTTTTTTAAATCAATCATAAAACTGTTAAAGAGATGATGTGCACACCCTTTTTGGACCTCGTCCTTCATGTTGCTCAGTCATAGTGTATCCCTGCCTCCTGTTTACACAAAACAACGTGTTTTCTTTGACAAAGTACATCATTTGCATTCAGTTTTACCTGACTGGAATTACTAATTTAAAATATGTGCTGTGCATAAAGTTAATTGTGTCTGTGTAATATCTTAGGATTCTGAATAATCACCCTGAAAGAACGCCATTGAACTAAATAGTAAGAGACTTGTCAGAATCACATCACACTGTTCTCACCTGAATGGAAGACGTTCTTTAAACACCTAAGGCGTTTGATAGACAGCTGGATAAAACTTCTTTTATGTGACTCCAAAAGTGTCAAAATGAGAAAAACTATAATTAAAGACATTTTTTACTGCAAGTGTAGAACTTGGTGTATCCAGCATTGTTTGTACAAAGGTTGGTGGACAATAACTTTATTTTGTCTTAAAGATAAATATGATCAAATGTGGGGCGGCTGTGGCTGAGTGGTTAGAGCAGTTGTCTTCCAATGTAACAGTTGAGGGTTCGATTCCACCAGCAGTCACATGCTGAAGTGTACCTGGGCAAGACATTGAATCCCTCATTGCCTCCGATGTGTGTCCTATTGGTGTATGAATGTGCTCCAAAGCACTGATTAGTCTTTGTAAAGATATAGTAGAGTGCTGTATGAATGGATAAATAAGGGCACAGATTGTACTGGAAAGCACGTTGAGTAACTTAATAAGATAGAAATATGCTATTTAAGTACAGTTCATTTATCATTTTAAAGATAAATATGATCAAATGTAGGTTTTAATTTTAATTAAAGTCTTCTTTGTGGGGTTATTCTGTGTGTGTTGTGAGTTCTAATGTTTATTGATTAAAAAATGTTTAATATTTTAGACTAAGAAATGTTTATGTCTTAGTCTAAATTATTGTGTAATTATTATAGATTACAGATTATCCTAGTTTTTAGTACTTGCAGATACAATTTGCAATTTACCAACCTGCTTAAAGTTTTGAAATTCTTTTTGCCTAAACGCCGTTTCTGTGTTAGAGCAGTTCCACAGGGTTTTTTATTTTCTGTGTTTTCGTACTGCTTTACATAATGCAGTATAAGCTAAGAGTATTTTGTCAAGTCCTACCACAAAAAGAAAAGGAGTACGTCTCAGAAAACAGCTGTCCCTTCATGTAACATATAAGCTGTGCAAAAAAACCACTTTGAACACACGATAAACTGAAATATACTTTACCTGAATGAAGGATGATGCCACTGTCAGTGTCACTGATCTCTCCAGTGCCTTCCATGTCAGAAAAGTGACTTCCTGTTACTGATCATCAACAAGTGTGATGTAAAGCCACACACACCATGTCCTGTGAAAAATCAAGGCAAAATTTAAAATAACCACTTTTTTCAAGCTCAAATTTGAAGAAAAATGAGATACTATGTTTTAATAAGATAAATATAAAATCAACCCCGACAAGTTTCACAAAGTCTAAAATAAAGTTTTCTTGAAAACTGTAATATGCACACTTTTGTGAAACAATGCTGCTTTCAATGACCACACCTAAATGAATCCTGACAAAAACGAAAAAGTTCATGCAACAACAACAACAAAAAAAAAGAGATTAAAAGTTTTATTATAAAACACAACAAGACATGCAGCTGGACATCAAAACTTAACAGTAAAACAACCGAAATGTAAATTTAAAGGCAAACCACTTTAACACAGCTTTCTCAACAACTGTCATTACTTAATGTGGTGACCTGTCGCTGCAGTGATTCAGGTGTGACGTGCCTTTTGACTTCACACACAGGTGCAGTCATAGTCTGAGTACACGCACAGGCTGTTCTGTCTGGGGTGTTTCCTGTAACTGCATGTTTGTTAAGTCATTCTTTGTAATAAAGGTTGGCACTGGACATATATCCACCTGATCTCAAGCACTGGTAAGAAAAAAACACCTGGATTAATTATTAACTCGGTGACTAAAGGAATGTGGAGGTGATTGCGTTCCACCACTCGGGGGGGTGGGTGACTTCAGCTAACACTAAAGCTTCCCTGCTGTGTCCACAGGGATGACAATATGAGGTCAAATTGTGAACAACTAGGTTGCTGGTCCAAGCACAGCGTGACACTCAGGAACACACAGGGATTAATAAAATCTGTCACTTTATCATCCAGGACATGCCTCCACAAAGCTCGCATGACTCTGATATAAATAAAATCACAAATAAGTTGTTGCTTCCTTTGCAGAATTTAGCTGAGACTGCTCTGTTGGTGAAAACAACAAGATTATTCAACATCGACGCCTTCTTACAGTTAAGCAGCGATGTGCATGAAAAGTTAAAATATATTTGATAAAAGCTCCAAAACACTTGGATCTACAAACACACTGGCACAAAAACTATGATAATACTGATCAATCCATCAACACAATCCCATACAAGGAAATAATCTTAATATTCAGGAAAACTGCTTGAAGATTTACAGCCTGAAGATCACACTGCTGATCTGTTTTAAACATGAAAAATACAAATATATCTAACTAAAAAAAACATTTTTTTTGGTATTGGTTACTGAACACATACGCTTTACTTCCAAAATATATGACTATTTTAAAGAATAACCAGCATATATTCACCAAAGTCAAAAGGCTGTTTATGTGAAATTAAATGTGAATTCAGATACACTTAACGTACAGTAACACAGAACAAAGTCCACAGTTGTGAAGGACTGCAGTCTTCATTTGTTAAACTATGTAAACAATTACCCCTTTTCAAAGTGATTTTTATTTTTTAATGTTCTGTTCATACCTGCTGTACCAATCGACTAAATTATTATTCATCTAGGCTGATTTTGGTTTACCATAATTTACAATACATATACGATATGTATGAATGTTACCAGTTATAATATATAAAACATTGCATTAAAAAAAAAATCAAGATTTTTCATGTTAAGTAAACTAATCTAAAAAGTGCAATAACAACTGCCAGCTAAACAGCCTTTGACTCGTACTTACTTTTTTAAAGAAAATTTAGGGAAACGGCTAAAATCCAAGAGATGACGGCTTTCTCTGCGAAATCACAGCTTGAACAGAACAGAAGTAAGAAAAATGTGAACGGAGTGGAGTCTGGACAGGAATAAAAGACTCACCCAGTGTGGAGAGGAGCGGCTGCGTACTCAGAGGGCTGAACAATTTACACCGGTGTCGTATAACTCAGCTCTTCTGACGGAGCTTGAAACTGTGTCAACAACAATGACTGAAGACACTGAGGAATTGCACCTGCCATTAACCTCTTATCAGCCTACTAATGCATGAGTGGCTACTTGACCCAAACTGTGTCTGGTATCAGAGGCACTACCGCTCCAATAACAATAAAGCTAAAGGATGATTAACACGTCACGCTGAAAACAATCAGAAACAACCGTCACCTGACTGATCCTCAGAATGTTAAAGAAACTGACAAAACTGTTTGTAAAAATATCATAAAATATACTGACTTCGCTGCTGCTCGCTCATACATCCTTTTTTGTTGCTTTCATAGAAATCTTATGTAAACTGAGCGCAGCACCATGAACCATTCTTCTGTAATGTGTACTTTCCCAAGTTACTGCGTGGGTTTGAGCACAAATGAAGCCAAACATGATCTTTTAACCAGTACTCTTTAAAGATAAATAATCTCAGTTTGGAGAACTGTTTTCTGACAATAATCACTTAACTACTATCATATAATGATCAAATATCTAAAATAATCTATGTCTACTGCCATCTTCTGGTTGTTTAAAATTAAATAAAGTAATATTTGAACTCTCAGCGGATTTTCCTGCAGCCCCTAAATGTTCCTACTTGTCAACCACTTTTCAAGATACCAGTACAGAGGCTGTTTTGTGGCCTGTCATTTAGCCCCCCCTCCTTAAATAAGGGGGAGCATATGGGCAGTGGGATAGTCCGCACAGTTTAAGGAGACTCGTAGCACCTGCTCTGCAATTGCGTGGCTCAAATACATTCTGAATGTAGATATTCGTTTGGGCTTTCCAGGAATGTTGGGGATCAGGCTCAGAAAAAAGTCCAGCAATTCCCAGACACTCAAGGATCACATCTCAAATGACATGGCACCGGGGAGCCAGCGGCTCCACTGACAATAGCCGTAAAGTTTTGGTTCAGTAATGTCTCCATTTAGAGTTCAGAGGGTGCACAACTGGACACATTTCACAGATACCAGCCATGACGAACAGTAGGCCGCCAGCTTATTCTGGTTTACCAACTCTTCAGAGGCTGAGGTGAGTTCATTTCCAAGCAGAAGATGTTAGTCAAGTGCCACTTTTCATATGGGAAAAATATAGTAGAAGATTTAAGTTTAATTTAAATATATATAGTGTTTGTCAAAAACTGTTAGCTTATTTTTGCTGCATATATGCATCTTATTCATTCTATTTAGTTATCACTCAGTGACAACTGATATTAGAACTACTTGTTTTCAGGATTGCCAATAACGAAGTAAAATTTACTCTGAAAGCAAATGCACGTATGTTGTGTTCATTCATGTCTTACTGTATACTGTATACAAACAGCCTGAAAAGAACAGAAACATAATTTCTCTTTAAAGTCAGAGACTATTTTATTAAAGACTGAGTTGTAGAAACTGATCAAACAACAACTTTGTAAGGTCTTTCAAAGATGTACCATGCTGTGCCACAAATTCAAAAGTATGTCTGCTTTATTTAAAGCAAAAGGAAAGGTTGAACAAGACTTATCTACCAGTAGGTCATCTGAATTTAAAACATATAAATGCAGCAGAGAAGGTAAAGACAAAAGAAGCAGCATCTCTGTGTATAAACATGTTGCATAAAGTCTCTGACAATAACTATAAATCAGATATAAGGGAAGTACCATTTAAATGAGTAATAACCTCTTCTGGTAAATTCTGTTTTTAAGCAGTGACAGAGTCAAGGCAAAAATCAAACATCTACTTAAAGTAAAACTGTATGAAAATTAAAGACAAAATTATACTATTTCTATCTAATCCATCCATTATCTTTACTCGCTTCTTCCATTTTGGGTCACTGATGCCCATGAGAGGCGAGGGACATTCTGGACAAGTCAATCACATATTTCTATCTAACGTCAAAATTAATTCCACCATGCTTAACGTAAAAACAAATTAAAAAACATCTTCAACCACGGTGCTGTACATCCAGTGGTGTGGTAACTAGTTACTGGAAGTCAAAAATAGTTTATATTAACAAAAAATCTCTCAAGAGACACGAGAGCAGCTTTACGGAGGCAACGCAGCAGCTGGAAAAACAAAGTAAATACCCGAGTCCTTTTTTAAGAACATGTAAAGTCAACAACTGACGGGAGCGCCCATTAAACAACAATATTACTCTTTTGAAATGTTAAAAGACTTGGCTACAATGACGCTTACATCATCAAAGGAATAAAAACAAATGAAAACGCGAAAAACTTTTTATTTTATTTTTTTAACTTTTGGAGTTTTGAGCTGAGAAAAAGCTCAAAACTTCTTGTTTTTCACTCAGTGAAATGGTCATTGAGAGATCACGAACACTACTGCACTAACAAAGACATTTCCACCAAAAGTTTATTTTATTTACTTTTAAATTGTAATAAGATAAAAATAATGATTTTTTTTGTTTGCTTTTGTTTAGTGTCTGGTGGCACTAAAATAAACATACAACTCAGACTGTATATAAAACATCAGTACCGGTAATAATTACATTATCACTTTGTAAACTATTTCATCTGAGTTTTTTCATACAGACAGCAACACGTTAGCGGTGAGTTTTGGGATTTACCTGTCTAAATAAAGGTTGACTTGAATGAAAGGTTGAACGAGTTTGAATGAGAACCAGCGCATACTTTGAAACACCCATATGACAGTTTTCTGAAGGGCACCAAGAAGCAGAAGTCATATTTTCAGATCATCATATTGGGGACTGCATGGCAGGCACCTATTATTCTACACCTCGGAAGTGAGTCTACATTTCTATCTCCGTTAATGCGGCCCGAACCACAATGTCTACCCCCACAAAAGTTATATCAAAACGACTGGCTCGGCCCCGTGATGTGTGCTATTACTTTTATTGGCATTTCAAGTTACCATGGCGAAGTAATTTGCAAACAAAGACGCAATATTTCACCAACTCCAGGAACTAGTTGGTGACTGTCCACTTATTATTCTACACCTGAAAAGCCTATCTTTTTCAACTTTAATGCGGCCCAAACCGCAAAGTGGACCCCCACAAAAGTTATCTCCAAACGACCGGCCCGGCTTCGAGATGTGTGCTATTAAT